TCTTCCGATAAACAGCAATCTCTAGAGATAAAGCTCCAATGGTCTTTGATACAGTCCATTGCATAGTCGATGAGAACGTTAGTGAAGAGGCTAACGACATCGAATGACATTAACTGGAATTCATTACTGAGCCGCCTACCATCAAGTTCCTTAACAAGTTTTAAACTATTTTCAATATGACTATGCGCCTTAGGAATTGTTTTAATGATAATATTATGAAGAAACACTGCCAAAGAATACAAGGGACTATTTATCGAAGAAACTATTTTACGAAAGGAACAATACTGCTTATGTATCTTCGGAAGAGGCCCTCAGAAGTATTCCATCATTGCATAACAAACCTCTATATGTGGATTCCGATATATACTTTTTTTCTTTCCAACTAATAAGGCACGTAAGTTCGTTACTATCCTCCTCGTCGGATCCCTTCTAACAACCTCATACGTATTCTCGTCCTGAAGCATCTCATTTATCTTGGAAATATATACCTGTCTATCTAATGCTACCGTCACACTACCGTTATCCGCACGAGTAAAGACAATCCTGTCATTCACATCCCTTAAAAAGGTCCTAGTGTCTTTCGCTAGTTGCAACAACCTCCTATCTATCTCCATACGATGTAAGGGACAAGAAGCTAAGTTATTCAAAACCGGAAGTGAGTGGTTCGAGATCGCGATCCGTTCATCAATAGGTAATTTGTAAATATTATATTACTTTCGATACATTTAATAATGTCAACCGTTAACTCTAATCTATTGTTCGAAGGTAAGGCAAAGTTATCTCCCAATTGTAAAAAATTCTGTACGTTGGGAGGTATGGAAACAGTTGATAGATTCACGAACCAGCCATTCCTTGGTGAGGAAAAAGAGGAGGAATCAATGAGAGAAAAGGCTAAGGCTCAATCTGTATCTCTCTAACTATCCCACCAGTAGAATTCTGTACCTTAGGGATTCATTCTTATCTGGGTTTAATTCTGGCATTTATATTCTCGATACGGGGGTGCTCATCATGACAAGTTAATATTTGTTATATTTTATATATGTGAGTTTATGTTGCTCTGAAGAAGGCTTAAAAATGAGCCGAAACATGTAAGCGCGTTTAGTAAAATAAAGAAGTTTTACGCTTTATATAGTCTTATTATTTGCGCAACGTCTTCCGTGCTTGATTCCTATTGCCCATGTCCTTTCTTAGTTCTTTTGATTTCTGATAAACGATGATAGATTTCAAAATTAATGGTGTGTTTACATTTAACACAAGTTGGATTAGGAAATGCAATAAGAATACACTACCAGGAAGATCTACAAATATACAGGATATCTCATTTTAAATAATGCATTAAGATTCTTCGAAAACTATGGTAGATATGGAAAAATGTTTTAAACAAAAGTTGTTTGGTTCGGAGGGAGACATAAGAAGGTATCATTGATTCGACCTTGGGTGGCGTTGCCAAGGCCAGGTCAAGGTCACGTGGATTTTTTTAAATGGAACACCCTATTCTTCTCTACATTTTCTTATAGCTTATCTCAAGAGCTTTTCAAAACATTATAATTAAGTTCATTTTCATTAAACACTTTTTGAGTTATAAGGTTTGGAAGTTACAGTACCTCCGGCATTAGCATTACCCAAGGTGTCCGACCGGCGGCTAAGAATCTCTTGAATATTGTTCAGGATCATGACCTGGATAATATCTGTCAAGATTGGTGAATGTATCTCTTATTTTCATTTTTACGTAAAAATGAATTTTTATTGCAAAAAAGAAAATAAGAGGAATAATCTCCAATGGTTTTGATCTTGACAAATGTCCCCACCATTTGACTTTTTTTTAAACTTTGATTTCTTTCTATAATAAAAAAAAGAATATTTTAAGACGAATTCAACCATGTGTGATAAAATTATTTTCCAAAGTATCATTTTTGAGGAATAATTAAAATCGCTTCTACACACGCGCCATCCGTACTCTTTCACGCAGCACGTTCGTGATTCTGCATATTTTCGCATAATAAGAAGTAACGATAAACATATCTATTTCTGGAACTCTGCGTCTAGTTATAGAAATTTTTATCGCGGACGGCTAGACAACACTTGCGTAACGTCTGGATGAGAATATAGTGTCAAGGTCGAAATTCGTGTATAATGTAATTGTACGAAAAGTGCAGAGTGTATGTCGCACTTATATGAATTACGTTTATTGTTTCACATATAAATTGAATTATTCTGTTACAAAATCGTATTTCTTTATTTAAAGTAAAGGAGGGGAATCAATCGTAAGAAAACTGGAATTGACGTAAATAATCGATGATGTGAATGGGTGCATTTCGTTCACGCACCATGTGCATGATGCATCATTTATTGAAACATTTTTTGAAACAAAAATTGACAGGTATTTCCAGTTCTTTTAGTTTAATATCTATATAACCGCTGTTGTGCCAGGCATATTTATTAATAAATTTTGAAATCTTGGCGAACAAAGTTGAAAATTTACGATTGCAATTTTAAGATGGAATCTCTCGAATGAAGTTATTTAACTTCCAAATCTAAAATCATGAGAATACCTGAAAAATATTTTATAAAATTCTTCCATAAACGGAAACCGTACACATCTAACGATTGTCTTTGACCCGTTGTTCCTGCTGAGCTGATATAGTTAGAAGAATAAATCTTGTACGGATACAGGTTTATTTCTTGCAACTACATCAAGGCAATGGCCAGTCATGCAAAGGGGCGCACAACTCTCACTTTCGACTCTCACCTCCCTCCTGCAAAAGGGAGTACGACTCTCACCCTTTCCCCCCCTGCAAAGGAGCGCACGACTCCCCAACAGGGGGGAGGGGAGTGAAAATCGGCAGTGAGAGTCGTGCGCCCCTTTGCAGGGGTGAAGGGGACTAAGAGTCGCTTCGAATGAAAAGTCCCACCGCACCTCTCCTCTGCTTAGGGACGCACTACTTCCGCGAATAACATTCGTCGTCGATATAGTTGTTGAAGAATTTTTGTGATGTTCAGTATTACTAAATATTTAATAATATTAAATTAATTTTGGTATAATGATTATCAACTTTTTTTGTTTGTAACTTTTTAACGAGTAATGTCCGACGGTTAAAACTTCCTCAAGGTCACTCGGGGTCATGACCTTGGTAACATATGTCAAGGTCAAGGTTATTGGGGCTCCCCTGATTTACATTTTTACCGAATGGTATAGCTGTGTATAGTTGCCAAAATCGACTGTAACGCACATTCTATCTTTTTTGTGCCTTCAATTGCTAATGAACGACCAGCATGTAACTCTAATTGGAATCCGCTTTGAATTGTATATATTTATTTTCAAATCCATAACGAGTTATATAATATTTAACATTCTCGACAAACTTGCTTCTATATGCTCTTTTGATTAAATAATTTTTTTTTGTTACAAATTTTGTCATTTTTGGAGATACAATTCTGTATAGCCTTTTAAATTTTCTTACCCATCGAGGTGAAGCTGTAAATCTTGCAACGTTTATATTTTCTTGCGCTTTGAGGGCCCATCGAATAATATCAATGAACTCCTTTTTCCAGACCTTGGAATTTTTCTAATGTGTATGATGAAATTTCTTTTAGCTTATCCACTCTACTTTCATCACTGTTTATCTGTTCTTTCCAACTTCGTAACTAACCTAGTGATGTTACTTTCCGAAATTTATGTTTTATTGTGTTAAGCGACTTTGGTTTCCTCGTAATGTCAGATTTCCAAAATTCCACGGCTCTCCCTTTATATTCGATTGGTATCTCATCATTTTCACATATCATTTTTTCAACATTATACGACTTTCCTCCTGTTTCGTTGTACTCTTCTTCTTTGTTCAATTAATTCTGCTCCCGGAATATCAAAAGAATCTTCGAAATCAAGGGATTCTTCCTGTTCAATTTCAAATTGATCCCGTGCATTCCTTGTAGCACATTTTCTATTTTCTCTTTCATATCTGTCTCTGTATTCGTAACAGGACTTTCACACAAATTTTGAAAAGTAGCACTGATATATAACAGCATTATCACGTTTTTCGGATTAAACTGCATTTTGTCTCTTAAAAATTATAAATAATAAGTTGTAGACGTATTTTTTCAAATAAAAATAGTAATTGTATCAAAACAATAGTAACGCTTCATTGTCTATTTATACTGTATTATTTATTGTATTAAAGATAAATTTTAATTTACAATTAGTCTTAAAATGATAAGTATATATTGTATAATGTTTATTGTACCTTTTTAAATCTGTCTTCTCCGTGAGGAACCTAATAATACATGTGATATACAGGGTGGGCCATTTAAACCTTCGGGATGTTTTTTGGGAATAACTTGAAAAAAAAATAAATAATTTGTTATGAAGTGATTTTCGTTTATTTTGAACTTTGCAAATTTATTCTGATCACTTTTTGAATATTATATCGCGTAAATGGCCACCGCCAGAGCGGATGGCGGAATGGCTCGTTTTTCGGCATTTTCCATCACTTTCTGAAGTGTTTCAGGCTCTATAGCGGCCATTTCCCGTCGGATATTGTCTTTCAAAGCTTCCAGGGTCCGTGGCTTGTTGACATAAACTTTGGACTTCAAAAAACCCCACAGGAAGAAGTCGGGAGCTGTCAAATCAGGCAATCGCGGAGGCCAGTCAAAATCACCATTTTTCGGAATAAGGCGCTGAGGGAACAAAGGCCGCAATAAAGCGATCGTGGCTCGGGCTGTGTGAGCTGTAGTGCCATCTTGTTGGAACCAAAAGTTTTCCATGTCATTGTCAGCCAGAAATGGCACCAAAAAATCCGTTATCGTCGACGACTCGATGTTGTCGGAGATCTCTGTACACTGACCTGTACAGCCTCAATATTCTCGTCAGACCGCCTCGGACGCCGTCGGCCTCGATGACTGGCATTACCAAGATTACCGGTGCCCAAAAATTTTTGGTGTAAATGTCTAATAGTATGGTCTGAAGGCGCTTTTTTCACTCGATATTTTGCACGATATGCACGTTGCGTTTTCACAATTGAGAAGTTGTTTTGAATGTAAAGCTGTACGATAACAGCGCGTTGTGGTGGCGTGTATTGTTCCATGATACAAATTCGCTTGGACTGACGCTTCGAAAATGTGTTCACATTAGCTGATCTGACAACAGATGTCAAAGTTACAAAGTTGCCGGATGCCGAAGGTTTAAATGGCCCACCATGTATAAATGTTTATATGTAATATATGATAACTGTTAAGAGTTTTCCCACAAAAGTAATAACAAAAGACTTTTCTGTTCAGTACTGTAACAAAAATACGACAAATAATAATTTCTTATAATATATTATGTTTACAAGCGAAAAATAAAATTATACGGAAAATATCAATATTAATTTTTTTAAATATATACTCACAAAATCGTTGCAACTAATACACTGGTAAACGATATTATTAATACAATTTCACGATATACTGACCATAACATTTGCGTAGCGAATGCCACAGCATTTTATACTGCTGCTTATGTACAAACCCTACTTCCAATATTCTCCTTCTCCTTAATTACTTTCAATCGTTTCTCATCTATAATTCCTTTATAATTTAATTTCTCTTGTTGGTTTTAAATTGAAGCAACACAGCACTAAAGAAATACGATTTTATAAGATATTAATTCAATTTCTACGTGAAACGATAAATGTAATTTATATAAGTGCGACATACACTCTGCACTTTTCGTCTTACAATTACATTATACACGACTTTCGATCTTGACACTATCTTCTCATCCAGACATTACGCAAGTGTTGTCTAGCCGTGTACGATAAAGACTATGTACTTCTATGACTAGATGTCCGCAGAGTTCCAGAAATAGATATGTTTACATCATTACTTCCTATTATGCGAAAATATGCAGTACTACGAACGTACTGCGTGAAGAAGTTCATTACGGATGGCGCGTGTGTAGAAGCGATTTTAATTATTTCTCAAAAACGATACTTTGAAAAATAACTTTATCACACATGGTTGAATTCGTCTTAAAATAATCTTTTTTTTTATTATAAAAAGAAATCAAAGTTTAAAAAAAGTCAAATGGTGGGAATAAACAAATAAAGAAAAAAAAATTTTTTTTCTTTTTATTATGAAGTACCCTTGAAACCATGCAACTTTTATGTCAAACTTTTTTTTCAATCTCTTACAGTTTCGACGATATTCGCTTCGAAATAGAAAAACCGATTTTTTTCAAAGAGGTTTTTCACCCCTTGAAAGTGCATATGGGCACGTATAAAAAAAATACGCTTATTTTTGTCTGGAGAATAACATACTAAAAGTTCATTAAGATCGGAGAGAGATAGTTGGATTCTTACGAGTAATTTTAATCTAAAGTTTGATGTCAAATTCTCCAGATAAAGCTAGTGGTAGCGTCGCGAATTTGGTAACGGCACGGACATATACGCAATGACATTCACACGTCAAGCGGTTATGCGACCCGCTGTTTTAGCAATCTGTTTTATATTTTTATACACTTGGCGTCGAGACGCTACTGTGTCGTTTGATAGGAATCTCTTAAATCGAAGAAAATGGGAGGTAACCAAACAAGTATTAATTATAAAACCTTAGAAAGTTGCTTTACTTCTTTACTAATATCCACTTCGCTTATCAACTCATTCTCAAATACTGGCGCACAGTGGAGAAATAAGAATTACTGTTCAAAAATTGCTGCAGATCACATGAGCCGGCGCTTCGGGCGATTGCGCCCCCATTGCCGCGGCATGCCGCTTCTATGCCATACAACTACCTTAAACAAAGACATATCGTATAGGTGCGAACTAAGCGCACGAAGTAAACGTAGTCAATCTATAAGTATCCGTAATA